TGCTAAAGAAATATGGGATGGGGTTGCAGAAACCTATTCACAAAGGGAGAATGTTGCTAGGGCTTATCAACTGAGAAATCAGATTATTGCTACAAGGCAGGGAGATAGATCWRTTGYAGCYTAWTTTTCAGCCCTTAAGACCCTGTGGCAGGAGATTGACCATAGGGTGTTTGAATTCCTTGTTGGCCTTAACCCTGAGTATGATATTGCACGACAGCATCTTCTTTCCAGGGATAGTGTCACTCTCTCCCAAGCATATGCTTTTGTGTCAAGGGAGGAGTGCATGAGGGATGTGATGATGAAGACCCAAATTTCTGATCAGTCTGCCATGGTAAGTGCTGTGAAACCTAAACAAAGTGGCGGTGAAATCAAGAAGGAAGACAAAAGAGACTTGGTTTGTGACTACTGTAAGAAGCCTAAACATACAAGAGATACTTGCTAGAAGCTTCAATCACATCTTGTGCCGACTAGATTGAGAAATAAGAAGGGAAATGCGCACATGGCAGTTAGGTGACACTCCGGCCCCTCCTACTACAGCTGCTTTGGAGTCTGTTGCAATTGCTACAGTAAGGGCCGAACTTGAGAGGTATGGGCTACTTCTGAACCAGCGGAATACAGCTAGTTCCAGTTCAGCCGCAAGCGGACAACAAGGTACAAGTGGCACTGGTGGAGTTCACTCTACCTCCTTTGCTCACACAGGTAGTTCACACGTCACTGCAAATTATGTTTCCACTTCAGGTAAGGAGGGACCTCCTTGGATTATAGATTTTGGAGCCTCAGAGCACATGACCCATAGCTCCACTATTTTTTCCTCTTACCAACTCTGTTCTGGCAGAGATAGGGTCTCCACTGCTGATGGATCCCATGTTCCTATTGTTGGGAAGGGATCTGTCAAGATTAATGATTCTATTTGTTTACCCTCTGTCCTTCATGTTCCCAGATTGAGCACAAATTTGTTATTTGTTAGTAGTTTGACTAAGAATTTGAACAACTCAGTAATTTTTTCTCCTGGACGTTGTATTTTGCAGGATCTGGATTCAAAGAGGACRAYTGGRAGTGGTCGTGAAGTGAATGGAATCTACCTCCTGGATGTTCCCCCTCACCAGAGTCATCATGTTAGCAGGGACTGTGAGTCAGGATCTGTGAGTCAGATTATG